GGGTTCGATACTTTATGAACACCCTGTATAGAAATAAACAATGCTTTTTGCATTATTTCAGAGATGTTCTCACTAAAAAATTAATTATTATATGTTTTCGAGATATACATATATATATACATATATATATATATATATGTATATACATGAATTATATATGTTATATAATGTATTATATTTACATACATACACACATACTTATGTACGTATAAATTTTTTATTAAACCGCGGGATTTAATTAATTAAATAGTGAATGGTGATTTTAAAGGAACCAATGCAAAGATATAAACTGTAAGTTGAATAATTTACGCGAGAATAATGCTTATCTAATATCGGAAACACTTGCCATATGACGTCAAACTGTCGTGGGAACACAATTTTCGCTAGTTATTTGTCAGCGATAGCAATCGTAAATTTGTTTTCCGACCATGACTCAAGTCACAACATGAAATACTACACATTGTCAGAGAACGCGATTCGCACAAATCATTTCACGTTATGTATAAAATATACATAAGATTTTATGATTCACATCGACAAGTTTAATTTAATTTTTATACAAACTAAGACAATACCATACTCTCTACTGTAATTAGTATACATTTTAATTATTACATTCAATTAGTATTACTTAAAATTATACAGAAAGTTATTTTATTTGTGAGTTTGTTTAATAAACTGTTCCATTTGTACATCAGTCGTGATGATTTTATTATAAAATTATAAATAAAATGATATAATTATTATTATTACTTTTTGACAGTTACAGTTTCTATATTAACGATTTTCGAATTCTTTTCATGCATAACAAAATACAAATTCAATTTACGCGTAACTCGGAATTAAGCACAACGAACAATGAATATTTATTTTATTCGTAAAGAGAGTGCCATAAATAAAAACTAATTTAACTTTATATACGTAAAAAGTGTGTATAAATTGAAAACTTTTTACGTGCTTGTTACACATCGCTATCTAGTAGGTACGTTATACATTTCTTGTTTTGATATTCATAAATAATTCAAATTATACATTGCTATTTATAAAAAAAAAGTTTTCGTAACTTTGTGCATAAACAAAAGTTTGAAAATACATACGCGCGAGAACTGCAATAGGAATTCTCTAACCCAAAGGAATGGTTGACATTGTAAAGATCATATTCACCGGATTCAAATCAACAGCTAAGATTAATAGACAAACTCTAAAAGCTAACTTTATGTCCAAATCGAATTGCCAAATCAGGTCGAAGATTAGTGTATTCGGAGAAGCACAAACGATCGACCGACTCTATTCGCAACTTTACTTGCTACAAACTACCTAATAGAATCTCTTTTGACTTAATAATGCATTGGTTACATCATATATAATTCAGATTCAAAAGCTCAAAAATGTGTTTGAGATTTAAATAATAAAAAATTAAACATGTATAGAGTCTTTATATTAAGATAATTAAAAAAATTAATCTCTATTAATAAATATTAAATATACATTGCATAAATTTTTTTTGTATTGTTTTTATCCAATAATATAAATAGGAAACATATTGTGTGTACGTGTTAATTAAATCAAGTTTTCTATATTTGAATCTATTCCTTATTTATTCTTTTCTTATATTTGAATAAATTTTATAATTCTATTAATCTTGTTAATAGAATCAATAATCTGCTAAAAAATTATTTTAGCTTAGAAATAAGCTCAATTTTTAAAAAGAATAATGAATAGAGAAAGAAAATACGGAGAAGCGTCAATTAATTAAAAAACTTTTCCAACTTGCACTTGGTATTTTTACATCTCAACTGTTAATATTTTCATTCGCACATCACATCCAATGTTTTCCCGTTTGCTTGCATCGATTACTTTCAAGTTTTCATCAGTCTAGATCTCTGACCTAAATACGAAAGTTCGTATCCTAGTATAAAGCCGACCGTGGACTTTTCCAGCAGGCTTCATTTTGCCCAAGTTAATTGAATCCTCGAAACGATGCGATTGGCGGGCGACCAAATTTCGCCAATTATCGTATCCAGCGACGGAGAACCGATTTGGTTCGAACTCGAAATTGCTTATGTAGATGTGGTCCGATTACGACAATGTTAATTTTCGTACGAGATGAAAGACAATATCGAAAATAGCCGATTAGTTGATGCTATATGTTGGGTCATTGCGCGTCTATTTGACATTTACGAGTGAGTCAAAACCAAGTCCTTCCGCCTGACTTCTGAGTACATCCTCGATCTAGTCGCAAAAAGACATATTGAGAAAGTAGGCGGATAGAGGTAATATCCGTACATCATCTCGCGTATGCAAGACACGCTTTACTCTTCGAGACGAAACTGCGAATGTGATGGATCGTCGAGTAATCTAGAATGGAACGAAAATTTTTCCGGATCGTTCCGATAAGCTGTAACGATTAAATCCAAATTTCAAAACGACATTAATAATAACGTCGTTTTGAAATTTGTGCAAAAACTGATGTTTTATAGACTTTGTAGACGTTTTGTAAACTTACTTTCGCGAAGCATATAACTTTCTTTTTTATCTTCGTCTTTACATTTTGTTATATTTTGTTGAGTTTTTATTTATTCTGTCTTCTATTTATTGTGTCATTACATGCTAGTCAATCAATTTTAGTAAATGTTAAATACTGAATGTGCGTGTAGATAAATATTGAATATGTGTATTACATGTTTAAATGTAAATTATAAGAGGACAATTTATGCGAAACAAGCGAAGCACCTATTTTAAATTTTGTGGTAGAAATCGCATGCCACGGCCTCCATCGTCTTTGGTATGTATTTTTCTTTTCTTTTAGGTAACCCTAGTTAACCCAAGGTTTTCTAATTTCCATATTTATCAAAGGCGTCAAAAGTTTTCTGCACTAACTTGGTTCCAAACTCGGAAACTCGTTCCCTCTGGGCGAACGGAAGCTCCGCCGCTGGAACTGTCTTGTTCTGCTGTCACTACGTGAAAATTAAGGAGGATGGATGGCAGCATTATTTCTCCAACCTGCTGTCACTGTTTAATTATAGTCTGACAATAGATTATGTGCGATATTATATGTGTTAAACCGAGATATGATTTTGTGTGTTATTTAATATGTCTGAACAGACACGACTATATTATAGCAAAACTTCTCAGACTTATCAAAATGATAAATTATCACGGTATTGTTTCCATTTCATTTGTAAAAACAGCTAATTTCTATCTATTTCTAAGTAAGAAAATTAGTAAAAATAAGTAATAATTAAATTATTATACTTCTACAAACGAAACAAAATTTTTTTGTTAAGTATTGATGCAGAGAATAGAA